ATCCTGGACAAGCTGCAGCTGGCCTGTGTTGAGGAAGTGGAAGTGAACTGCAACTGGACCCTGTCCAGCCTGGCCACTTTTGCTCCTTACCTCAGCCGGATGGGAAATCTTCGCAGCCTCCTCCTCTCCCACGTCCACCGGGCCGCCTCCATTGCCCCCGAGGAGCAGGAACGGCTGGTCCTGCAGTTCACCTCTCAGTTTGCCCACCTGGGCTGCCTCCAGGAGCTGTCCATGGACTCTGTCTGCTTCCTGGAAGGCCGCCTGCACCAGGTGCTCAGGTGAGGGAGCCTCTGCTGTCCCTGGAAGTTTAGTGAGCACCTACTGTGCCGATCACCAAGGATTGTCTCAGAGATCCAGACACCAGAACATTAGGAATGTCTACTTCTGTCCTGTAGCCAGGTCTCCTCTTAGCACACATGTGAAGGCAGAGATCAAAGCTGGGGTGCATGTAAATAAATACAGAGGGCTAACCTGGGGTTCATGAAAGGCAGAGGGTTTTGCTGGAGTGTGTGGCCTAGAAAGGGCCACCATACCAGGAAGCTAGTTGTGGGGCAAAGATCCCCAGAGGGTGCCTGTGACTGCAGTCAGGCTCTTCACCACACAGCATCCTGGATCCCATTCCCCATGGTCCTCTCCTTGGAGGCCGGCCCCCCCACCCCCACCTCTCCCTTTCAGTTCTCAGATCTAACCGTTGGCTCTCTCCTCAGGTTCCTGAGGACCCCGCTGGAGTCCCTCTCAATAACCGACTCTCGGCTCTCAGAATCAGACTTGACGTGTCTGTCACAGAGCCCGAGCATCCGTCAGCTCAGCGAGCTGAACCTGAGCGGTGTCAGGATGACTCGCTTCAGCCCTGAGCCCCTCCGAGTTCTGCTGGAGAGCGTCGCAGCCACCGTGAAGACCCTGGACCTGGAGGACTGCGGGATCCGGGACGCCCAGCTCACCGCCATCCTGCCCGCCCTAAGCCGCTGCTCCAGCCTCACCACCTTCAACTACCTGAGGAACCCCGTGTCTGTGACCGCCCTGGAGGCCCTGCTGGTCCACACTGTGCACCTGAGCCACTTAAGCCTGGAGATGTATTCTACTCCTCTGGAGGTCTACGGCCCCCAGGGTGGCCAGCAGCAGTGGAGACTCAACCAACTTCGTGATAAGCTGATGGTGATGGTGGAGTCATTAAGACAGTCCAGAACAGTCTGGTTCAGTACCATTCCTCCCCCTGGCAACGAGCCACAGTTTGAAGCCCAAGCTAATCTGTGCTCTGGGTGTCAGCCTATCTAGTTGGGCACAGGCATTGGAAAAGAAAAAAGAACATAGGTACATCCTAGAGGGACTCAGAACTTGTGCAGTCTTGGGAGGGAAAAGGACAGGGCTGGCAGTGGGGGCAGCCTTGGATGGGAGATGTTGACCTGGGGAGTTGAGAACCTTCAGAGATGCATGTTCTAAAGGGGTTCAGAAATGGAATATTGAGTTTCTGGGTTAAAATTCATGTTTGGAGAGGGACTTGAGGTTGTTGCTCCTATATAGATGGTTTTAAAGAAACAGAAATAAAGAGAATCTCAGTGTAAACCAGTTCATTTCTTCCATGATCAGTTTGCCTCCCTTACAGTTTAAATCCACAGCTCTCTGGAGAACTGCTGGTGGGTGAGGCCCTGAGTCATCTGACATACAATGGGGTGTTGGCCCCAGGAACTCCCAGCTTCCAATGCAGTGGTGCCATAACCTCCCATTGTCTACTTTCCTCTGGGCACTTCTTCTTTCTGGCTTCTGTGTCTGTTTGGTTCATAAACCACAGGTGGTTTACCTGAAATGTACAGCAGACACCCCCTGTCCAAACTCCAGGGTCACCTGGTGCAAGTTCCTGGGAGACCAAGATGGTGCATGTGTAGGAGGGCCTTACTGGGAGATCCTTGAGTGTGTGCCCTCAGAAGGGACGAAGGGAGTTCTTCCTGAGTGAGTTCTCCTGGGAGAAACTTGTTGTAAAAGAGTGAATTTGAGCTGGGCGCCAGTGGCTCACAACTAGCTACTCAGGAGGCTGAGATTTGAGGATTGCAGTTCAAAGCCAGCCTGGACACGAAAGTCTGTAAGATTCTTAACTCCAATTGACTTAGAAAACTGGAAGTGGCACTGTGGCTCAAGTGGTAGAGCGCTCATCTTGAGCTTAGGGAAAGTGTCCAGGCCAAGAGTTCAAGCCCCTACAACCAACAACAACAACAACAGAGACTGAATTGGACTAAGAAAGTGGCTCAGTGGTAGAGTGTTTGCCTAGCATTCATGAAACCCTCAAGTGGTAGAATGCTAGCTTTGAGCACAGAGAGGCTCACCTATCCATGAACATGGGATGCCTTTCCAGTGTCTAAAGTCTCCTTTAGTATTTTCCTTTAGCACATTGCTATTTTCATCATAGGATAGGAGTCTTTCACGTTATTGGTTAGTATATTCTTAGATAGCTTATGGGGGCAGGGCAATGAATGGGATCATTTTCCTGCATTTTTTTCTCATGGAATTTGTTGTTGATATGTAGAAAAGCTACTGGTTTTGTATGATTTGTTCCCTGGTGCTTCCCTAGAAACATCAAATCGAAGAGTCTTCACTGAGCCTTTTTTTTTTCCTAATGCTGATACTAAGACATGATTTCAGGGTCTGGGCACTGGCCCTTTTTTTACTCAAGATTGGTGCTTACCACTTCAGCCACACCTCCACTTCCATAATCTTCCTGGTTAATTGGAGATAAGAGTCTCACAGAGGGGCTGGGATGTGGCTTAGTGGTAGAGTGCTTGCCTAGCATGCATGAAGCCCTGGGTTCCATTCCTCAGTACTACGTGAACAGAAAAAGCCAGAAGTGGTGCTGTGGCTCAAGTGGTAGAGTGCTAACCTTGAGCAAAAGAAACTCAGGAACAGTGCTCAAGCCCTGAGTTCAAGTCCTAGGATTGGCACACAAAAAAAAGTCTTACAGAGTCATAGAGGTGGCTCCACCTATAATCCTAATTACTCAGAATGCTGAGATCTGAGAATTGTTGTTGAAGCCAGCCCAGGCAGGAAAGCTCCAGAGTTATCTCCAATAAACTACTCAGAAAACGCCAGAATGGCACTATGTCTCAAGTGCTAGAATGCTAGCCTTGAGCAAAAAGAAGTTCAGAGACAGTGCCCAGGACACATTCAAGCCCTAGGACTGGCCAAAAAAACAACAACAAAAAACAGTCTCACAGACTTTACTGCCCGAGCTGCCTTCAAACCTCTGTCCTCAGATCTCAGCCTTCTGAGTAACTAGGATTACAAGAATTAACCACCCACCAATACCAGCTCTTTTTTTTTGTCAGTCATGGGGCTTGAACTCTGGGCCTGGGCTCAGTCCCTCAGCTCTTCAGCTCAAGTCAAGTGCTCTACCACTTAAGCCACATAACCACTTCTGGTTTTCTGGTGCTTAATGGAGATAAGAGTTTCATGGAGGCGACTGGGAAGGTGGCTCAATGGTAAAGTCCTTGGCTTGCATGCGTGAGGCTGTGAGTTCAATTCCTCAGCACCACATAAGCTTAAGAAGCTGGAAGTGGCCCTGTGGCCCAAGTGGTAGAGCACTAGCCTTGAGCTGAAGAGCTCAGGGACAGCACCCAGGCCCAGAGTTCAGGCCCTATGACCAGCAAAAAAAAAAAAAAAAAGTTTCATGGAGCTTGGCGCTGGTGGCTCACGTCTGAAATCCTTGCTACTCAGATGGCTGAGATCTGAGGATCACAGTTCAAAGCCAGCCCAGGCAGGAAAAGTCCATGAGCCTCTGATCTCCATGTAACCCAGAAAACTGGAAGTGGCGCTGTGGTTCAAGTGGTAGAGCACTTGCCTTGAGCTGAAGAGCTGAGGAACAGTGCCCAGGCCCAGACTTCAAGCCCCATGACCAACAACAACAACAACAAAAGAGTTTCATGGACTTTTCTTGCCAGGGCTGGCTTTGAACCTCAATCCTCAGAATTCAACCTCCTGAGTAGCTAGGATTACAGGGGTAAGCCACTGGTGCCCACCTTCATGCTTTTAGTTTATATGATCTCTAATGGTTCTATGTTCAGAGTGCTTTGGACCTTTTGTGTATATTTAAACCCATCCTGAGGCTTGAACTCAGGACCTGGGCTCTGTCCCTGAGCTGCTTTTGCTCAAGGCTACCTCTCTACCTCTTGAGCCACAGCTCCATTTCTGGCTTTTTTGGTAGATAATTAGAGATAAGTCACACAGACTTTCCTGACCAGGTTGTCAAACCCTGATCCTCATATCTTAGTCTCCTGAGTAGCTAGGATTGTAGGTGTGGGCCACTGGTGCCAGGCTTAAAATTAGGTTTCTATCCAGCTGTCTACGCATTTTTATTTCTTGGTGCCAATGCTGGGGGTTGGTTCTGTCCCTGAGCTTTTGTGTTCAAGGCTAACTCTTTACCACTTGAGCCATTTCTAGCTTTTTGGTGGTTAGAGATAAGAATCTCGTGAAGGGCTGGGAAGGTGGCTCAGTGGTAGAGCGCTTGCCTTGCATGCATGAGGCCCTGGGTTCGATTCCTCAGCACCACATAAGCAAAAAGAAAAAAGCCGGAAGTGGTGCTGTGGCTCAAGTGGTAGAACGCTCACCTTGAGCTGAAGAGCTGAGGGACAGCGCCCAGGCCCAGAGTTCAGGCCCCACGACCGGGCCCCCCCCCCAAAAAAAAAGGAAGGATTTAAAGAATCTCGTGAAATTTTCTACCCTGGCTGGCTTTGACCCATGATCTTCACATCTCAGCCTCTTTAATAGCTAGGATTGCCAGGCTGGGATCTGAGGATCACAGTTCAAAGCCAGCCAGGGCAGGAAAGTCTGTGAGACTCTCATTTCCAAAAAACTACCATAAAAGTGGATGTCGCGCTGTGGCTCAAGTAGTAGAGTGCCAGCCTTGAGATGAAGAGCTCAAGAGGCCCAGAGTTCAAGCCCCACAATCAATAAAATAATAATAATAATAATAGTACTAGTAGTAATATTACAAGGATAAGCCACTAGCCCTGGGCCCTTTTTAAATTTTGTTTTTTGGGGTTTTTTGGTCGGTCGTGGGGCTGGAACTCTGGGCCTGAATGTTGTCCCTCAGTTCTTCAGCTCAAGGCAAGTGCTGTACCACTTGAGCCATTGTGCCACTTCAGGTTTTCTGGTGGTTTAGTGGAGATAAGAGTCTCCAGGACTTTCCTGCCCAAGCCGGCTTTGAACTGCTATCCTCAGATCTTAGCCTCCGAGTAGCTATGATTGCAGGCGTGAGCACTGGTGCCTGGCTCTTTTCACATTTTTTTTTACAACCACTGAATAGGTAGCAATTACTCATGCCTGAGAGATGGGAAATATAAAGGGAACATAAAATGGAGGGCAATATTACAACGAATCTGAGAAACAGCAGAGGACATTCAATGTACAACTTGGGTTTTTAAAATTTTTATATTTAACCCACCTAAGAATTGATGATTGGCTTTATTGTGGTTTAAAAGGAAGAGTTTCAAAACAATAGATTTAACCCACCTTGGCCGGGAAAATCTTGGCCTAGAGGTCAAATGTTAATACAGCAAAACTCTCTACAGCCCCGGGACAGCAACTGTCCCTTGGGCTAGTCTTGAGGAGAGATCTAATGCTCTGAGGCATTCTCTCCTATCTTAGAATCCAGAAAACTCAGCACCACCTACCAGATGTACAAGGTTCTTATCCTCAGGCCCAACAAAACCTATCCTGAGACAATGGACTTAGAGACTCTTGGGCCATCTCTGAAACCACCTTTGATTGGGACTATTTCCAAAACTTCTTTCTCCCTATTCACCCCCAATTCTCTCTGTTTAACCTAAGGCCACTGTGGTACCCCTCAAAATAGCAGAAAATGGCTGAAGATGGGCAGAAGTGCTTTCATCCTGAGGTACGTCTGTGCCATGTCTTCTCCTTCTTTGCCACATTTCTTCCCTAATAAACTTACCTACTACTTTCACTGTGTTTGACTCTTGCCTGAATTATTTTTTTGGCCAGTCCTGGCTCATGAATTCAGGCCCTGGGCACTGTCCCTAAGCTTCTTTTGCTCAAGGCTAGCACTCTACCACTTGACCCACAGCACCACTTCTAGCTTTTTCTGTTTTATGTGGTACTGAGGAATCGAACTCAGGACTTCATGCATGCTAGGCAAGCATTCTACCACTAAGCTCCATCCCAGCCCTTGCCTGAATTCCTTATAGGTAGGATGCAAGAATCAAGGTTGAGTAGCTGCACTAACTACCGTAAAACTACTGCATGACCAAATCCTACATTAAGTTTCTAGATCTTGAACTAATGTTAGAATGCTAGGATGTTCCAGAGGATTCCTGAACTTCTCAAGATATTTGAGGGGGGGAGGGAGAGAGAGAAAGAGAAAGAGACAGAGAGAGACAGAGAGAGACAGAGAGACAGACAGATAGAAACTAAAGGAATTAACTTGATTTTGTATGATGGGCATTGCTGTCAACAGATGTTACCTGGAGTCGGTAGTATACACCTGTAATCTCAGAACTAAGTAAGAGACCAGAGGATCTTCAAGGGGAACACTGGTGGCTCACCCCTATAATCCCAGCTACTCAGGAGGCTGAAATCTGCAGATTGAAATTTTTTTTTTTTTTTTGTCAGTCGTGGGGCTTGAACTCTGGGCCTGGGCGCTGTCCCTCAGCTCTTCAGCTCAAGGCGAGCGCTCTACCACTTGAGCTACAGCGCCACTTCCGGTTTTCTGGTGGTTTATTGGAGATAGGAGTCTCACGGTCTTTCCTGCCCGGGCTGGCTTTGAACCGCGATTCTCAGATCTCAGCCTCCTGAGTAGCTAGGATTACAGGCGTGAGCCACCAGCGCCCGGCTTGCAGATTGAAATTTGAAGCCAGCCCAGGCAGGAAAGTCCAAGGAACTCATCTCCGGTTAACCACCAAAAAGCTAGATGTGGAGCTGTGATTCAAGAAATTCAAGGACAGCACCCGGGCTGATTTGAAGCCCATCAACACCCCCCACCCCCCAAAAAAAAGAAAAGAAAAGAAAAAGATCTCCACTTAGAGGTCAACCTGGGCAAACCGGAAGTTTGAAAAAAAAGTGGGCACAAGGTAAACAAACAGAGCAGTGGACAATTTGTAATATGGGCCAGAAGTTGTGGGCCACGGAATTCCATCACCACTGGGGACCACAAGGGATGGATTAGATAAGACCTCGAGGGCTAGATAGAGCACAGGATGGAGCCACCTACAGCACCCACAGGAGCAGTGGAGCAAGCCCTTTGGCAAGTAGGAGGAGCTTCCTGAGCGGAAGGACAGTCTGCCAGGCCAGTCTCAGCTTCCTTGCAGGCAGTGGGCGATGTTGGCCTTCTCACTTTGACTTGGGTCTAGCTTCCAAGCCCAGATGTCGCCTGTTCACCTAGACCCTGAGCCAACTGGAGAGCCTGCTGGGCCAGGTGCACACCCAGGTCCTCAAAGTCACCCTAACATGGCCACTCTGCAGCTGCCGCCACCCAAGACTTCATCATGTGTTCCCGAAGTGGGGGCCAGGATGCTGGGTGGATCCTGCTGCATGACCCCCCAGTTGTGCTCAGTCTGCTCCAGGTGCTTTATGACATAGTACAGAACAGACCATCAGCTGCCTGGACAAGCTACATGGGGGCAGCGGGCAGTGAGGGCAAAATCCACAGTTCTAGCCACCGCTGGGGTCTGAGAGCCCGAGGCCTTGCTGCCAACCTGCTTTGCTTCAGGGCCAAGTACACCAAAGCCAGCGACCCCTGTGTCCTGACTTGGCACCAGATCCAGTGGTAGACAGGTCAGCTGCCATCCTGGATATCCTGGTTCCACCCTACAGCCCTACCCATACCATTTCTGGTTCTAGAACACTCCCTCCCCCCCACCCCCACCA